AGGCCTGATTGGTGGAGTGCTGCAGAGATGGTTGTCCTTCTGGACGTTTTCCCATCTCCACAGAGGAACTCTAGAGCTCTGTCAGAGTAACCATCGGGTTCTTGGTCACCTCCCTGACCAAGGCCCTTCTCCCCCGATTGCTGAGTTTGGCCGGACGGCCAGCTCTAAGAAGAGTCTTGGTGGTTTCAAACTGAATGATGGAGGCCACTGTCTTCTTGGCGACCTTCAATGCTGCAGAAATGTTTTGGTACCCTTCCCCAGATCTGTGCGTAGACACAATTCTGTCTCGGAGCTCTACAGACAATTCCTTCGACCTCATGGCTTGGTTTTTGTTCTTACATGCACTGTCAACTGTGGGACCTTATCTAGATCAGTGTGTGCCTTTCCAAACCATGTCCAATCAATTTAATTTACCACAGGTGGACTCCAATCAAGTTGTAGAAACATCTCAAGGATGATCAATGGAAACAGGATGCACCTGACCTCAATTTAGTGTCTCATAGCAAAGGGTCTGAATACTTATGTAAATAATGTTCAGAGGAGACTGTGTGAATCAGGCCTTCATGGTCGAATTGCTGCAAAGAAACCACTACTAAAGGACACCAATAATAAGACGAGACTTGCTTGGGCCAAGAAATACGAGCAATGGACATTAGACCGGTGGAAATTTGTCCTTTGGTCTGGAGTCCAAATTGGAGATTTTTGGTTCCAACTGCCGTGTCTTTGTGAGACGCATTGTGGGTGAACGGATGATCTCCGCATGTGTATTTCCCACTGTAAAGCATGGAGGAGGTGGTGTTATGGTGTGGGGGTGGTTTGCTGGTGACACTGTCTGTGATTTATTTAGAATTCAAGGCACACTTAACCAGCATGGCTACTACAGCATTCTGCAGCGATACGCCATCCCATCTGGTTTGGGCTTAGTGGGACTATCATTTGTTTTTCAACAGGACAATGACCCAACAAACCTCCAGGCTGTGTAAGGGCTATTTTACCAAGAAGGAGAGTGATGGAGTGCTGTATTAGATGACCTGGTCTTCACAATCCCCCGACCTCAACCAAATTAAAGATGGTTTGGGATGAGTCGGACCGCAGATTGAAGGAAAAGCAGCCAACAAGTGCTCAGCATATGTGGGAACTCCTTCAAGACTGTTAGAAAAGCATTCCAGGTGAAGGTGGTTGAGAGAATGCCAAGAGTGTGCAAAGCTGTCATCAAGGCAAAGGGTGGCTATTTGAATAATCTCAAATATAACATGTATTTTGATTTGTTTAACACTTTTTTGGTTACTACATGATTCCATATGTGTTATTTCATAGTTTTGATGTCTTCACTATTATTCTACAATGTAGAAAATAGTAAAAATAAAGATATATTTTGTTTAATAGCAGGACACTGTAAAGTCCATTATTCATCTGAAGAGTATGAATTAGGCTGTTTGAGAAGGTTTGAATCCTAAGCAACCTGCCTACACATAGTTTGAAGTACAATAGACCAACATAGCTACTGTAGTAGGTCAAAACTGTCTGCTGGAAAACCTTAGTAGAGCATGGGTGGAGTAGGCATTGCAGTGCTCATGTGAATTTCCTTTATTTTTCGGCTTCAGACCAATGCCTACTTTAATTTCCATGGTTTTTACACTGGAAGATGATTTTCTGTTAAAGGTGCATTATACAACATTTCCACATGCAAAGACAGATGTATTTTGGGAGCAACCAAGTCTCCAATGGCAGTGCTATGGTAACCTTTAATTTGTCCTCTGCCAAAAGGTCTGGGCCTTAATGGCACAGGTGGTGTGCTTGCATAAAAGCAAGTGTTGCTGGTTTAAACCCCTGGTCTGCTGGCTGTTGCCCTCTAATAGCTCAAAAAGACTGCAAGAGTATACTACAATCATAGAAAGATCATTGCCATTCTTCATGCTATAATGGATTGGGCTACAGTAGAGTTAGTGGTTCCACCTCTTTAAGATGCCATTACCGTCTTTCTTTTGGCAGGCAGGAACACACAAAAAGCATCCGTTACGACTGTAGGTAAAACCGGCTCAGGAATAGAAAAACTTTACCATGGAAGAAGAGCTAACTCGTGTGTACATAAGAACACCCCATAATTCACTGAGCTTCCTTCCATGAGCTGACATAGAGAGGAAGCTTCTACAATGCCCACTGCATAACGCAGTTATGACACATATGTTTAAAAAATATGTTATTGTTATCCTTTGTTTGAACAGGCAAACAGCCTATCATATTGGGTCCTGTTCTGTTTTACACTGGTCTCTAGGACAATAGACTGGGATGCAGTGAATAACATTTTTAAAAAAAAGCAGAGCCATTGCACTGCCACTTTCTCATAAAGGGGGCGGGGAAGAGGTGGGTGGAAAATATGATGATTGCCATTAGACACATGGACACGCATGTCCAGCCCTGGTTGCCTGGCGATGTTTAAAGAATGGGTAATTACGGAATGAATATCATTATGGGATGTTATTCCATGGTTCCATGGCGCACAATGACAGCACCTGTTTCCTATAACATAGTATTCCCTTGTAAGGGATAAAGGAAACAGGGAAAGAAGCAGGACAGAACAATGATAATCAGAAGCATCTCACTGAGCTCATGGGGTCAAACTCACCACAGAGGGACTAAGTGATGAGGTCATAATGGATATTGGAATGGAAGGAAGGCACAGGATACATTTGACATTAAGGGTCAATTGATGTTTGGGAAACAAGCGTCATCACTATCATTTGAATCAGACTACATAAGTATTACTTAGGGCTAGATGTGCAGTGTGCACACAACAACAACCGGAATAAGCAAAACTCACATGGGCACATGTGCCACTTTGGGAGTCTGACACTCAAAATAGACAGACACTTGTTGAAGTGGTGACATAATGCCAGTGTCACATTTCATGAGCTTTAAATGTCTGTCTGGTTTAATAGATGAAGATTCACAAGCTTTTTGATGAATGACTAGATGTACCCACAGACACCTCAAAAGGATTCAAACAATGAGGAAAACAGTGACAATGAGGAAAATGTTGACAATATGCCAACAAAGTTAACCACAGCATAACACCATCTAGTGTCTTAAACTGGAAGTATGAAAATGTAGACAATTGACAATAAAAATAAAGCAGCATCAAGATACAGCATATTCAATATCCATATAGTGGGTACCCAAATAATGATTGTCAAGCCGTCGAACTTCCAACATCAGATGGAAAGGTGACAACGGCTCAATTAAGATACTTCAATTCATTTACATACTTTAAGAACAAAGTGATAAAGCAATAGTGTATCCACAACATTTTAAACCAAACTGATTAGTAAAGTAAAACAGACAAACTCACCCGAGGGAGATTTAACTGTGGTCTTGACAACCATTCTCAATCAGTTATTTGTTCAGCGCTCTCTCGGTAAGTATCACGTCATGTAAGTCAATGGTATAAAGTTACTCAAAAAACGATTTCCGACTCACCGGTAAAAAAAAAAAAACTTTAGGGATATTATCAATAGGGTATTATTGTCATATTGTCCTCCGGTTAACTGTCTATACAATTAACATTATTTTGGCTGCAAATAACCCCGTCTTTCAAGCATTTGTTTTTCAAGCATCACGTTCGTTGTCTTGGTCAAATCCTGTTTGCAATTATTTCTAATCTCTGAATTTCAAATTTCGATTAAATGTAATTTATTTGAGACGCAAATAATAGGACTATGAACTAGTTGGGTATTTTCTCCCCAAACCAACATCGTATGTGGAATATTGGATCACTGTTGATTATTTTTTCAAAACGTGATGGACAGACTGCGTAAAAAGTAAATTAACCCAATAAGGAATACTAAGGTATTTCCTGCATGAAGAACATATTTAACAACCCTTTAAGCTGTCAGGAATGCTTTGTGGTTGGCTAGAGGGAGAAATATGTTAATAATGTAGGCTTCTGCCATACCAAATATGGCAACATTGTTACGTCTGAAGTGTGGTTCGCATCTGGAAATGCTTAGAATGAAGGGGAGGGCAGGCCAAAAATAGAAGCCGTAAACTTTATTTCTCCCAATCCTCTCAAACGCGCACAGAATCTTCGAATTCCGGGACGTCTCACTCCTAAACTGTGAACAGTTACAGAACATTTAGAATAGCGGGAGTAATGTATTGATATAGGGGCTATAATAAGACAATTCCCTGACAGAATGATTCTCATCATGAGAATCGAATCTCGCAACAAATTCAGTATAATTTACGAGGTGAAGCAGTGACAGCATGACAATTTCATACCTTTTAATAGCTTTGGCAACTGTTGCATAACTGACCGCAATAAGAGGTTGTAAAATAATGAATAATATAAACAATCTATACACATGTTATAACACAGTAAACACCTACAAGGAAGAATAAGAAATGTAAAAGACAATATTACATTATTGTTTCTTTTTCTTTTTAATATTATCTCTCAATGAGATGTCAAAATAAGTGGAAACAAACAGATCAAACTGCTTTGAAATAAATTAATCCCACTTCTTTTAAATTCAAGAAAATGTGTACCCTAACCCTTGGCTCATAACATAACAGTTGTGAACTTGTGAGAAAACCAATAAAGCAAAGCAAAGGATAAAGGAGGATAGTAGAGACAGGAAACGGCGAAGGGAAAAAATGTGTTCAGTTCAAGGGGAAAATGTATTTTTGAAAAAAGTTACAGGGTGGTGCTTAGCTTCGATGGAAAACGCGCCAAGAAACATTCCTCGCATAGTTTTGGAACAGTTCAGCAGTCAGCCAACAACGACGTCAGTTTTCACTACAGTATAAAAGACGGGAGGTACTCTGCTTCAGCAGACTGCAACTTGCAACCAGAGCTAGAGCAACTCTTAAGCCTCTACTCTCCAAAGAGACAAGAAAACAAACCAAATCGCTACAGACGAGACGACTGACCGCTACACTTAGGATAAAAATACACTTGCAAAGACTTATAGCAAGATATCGTAAAGGGAATAGCAAAGTAATATATATATATATATATTTTAATAGGCTACGCAACAAAGAAAAACGCAAAGATGTTCATATTCTCCATCGTCGTGATATTAATTGGAACCTTCAATATGGTAAGTAATTTTTTCTGAATAATATTTCAATTTAAAGTTGTCTATGATTATTTTTTTAATGAATTTGAATAGATCCGAACGAATACTAAATGTATGCTTTATTGTCTGGGGAATACAATGTAGCATACTGTTTTGGAAACCTGTCGCAATCACATCGTTCTATATGAACTGTTTGAAAATATTAAATAAGCTATGTAAATACAACCTGAACATGTGGCTGTTTTAAGATGTTGCTTACAAAGTATCTATCATTAACGTACTCTGTTATCTGCCCAGGTCCTTTCCTCCTCTTCCTGCCCCTCCGTATGTGAGTGCCCAATGGAGATGCCCAGGTGCGCGCCTGGTGTGAGCCTCGTAGCAGATGGCTGCGGGTGCTGCAAAGTCTGCTCAAGACAACTCAACGAGGACTGCAGTCTGACAGAGCCTTGCGACCACACCAAAGGACTCGAGTGCAACTTTGGGGCCAGCTTCGGTGCTATGCGTGGCATCTGCCGTGGTAGGTGTCTCTTTCCAATCCTGCTATGCTGTAAACTGATCTTAGGTCAGAATAATGCTAGTTTGGTAAAGTAATATGGTTGCAAGAGAAGCTAGTGGTATTTTTACTTGAGAGAATAAGAGGACCATGTGATTTCAACTCTAAGGAATGTAACTCAGCACCTCAGTCTAAAACTCTGAAGTACAAACATCCTGCTCTGGAAGAAAGTGATCCCCCCTCAGTGGTTCCTCTCCTCAGGCAGCCCTAGCCTTCTGAATAATTTGTACAGTTTAAACCAAGCCTCCCTCAGACAGCCTCAGCCAGCATGTGATCTGTGATGTCTATAGCAGACACTAGCCTACTGAACAGTGGAATAACAGCCATTTACCCCTCTCTTCTCCTCCACAGCTAAGTCAGAGGGCAGACCCTGTGAATACAACAGCAGGATTTACCAAAACGGAGAGAGCTTTCAGCCTAACTGCAAGCACCAGTGCACATGCATCGATGGGGCTGTGGGCTGCGTCCCCCTGTGCCCTCAGGAGCTCTCCCTGCCCAACCTGGGGTGTGCCAACCCAAGGCTGGTCAAGGTGGCAGGCCAGTGCTGCGAGGAGTGGGTATGTGAGAACGGAAAGGACACTGACATCATTGACAAGCTGTTTGGCAAAGACAGCATGACTGACGAGTCAGAGAGCGACCTCACCAACAGGAACGAGCTCATCGCCATCGTCAAGGAAGGACTCAAGTCTCTACCTGGTAAGCAGCCTCTATCTAGCAGCAGCCATTTCGAATTTCAGCTTTCAACAATGACATTTTCCTTTGCCTCAAATGTTGAAGCCCATACTAGACCAGTTTCTAATGTTTTTTTGCTTTTTCTCCTTACAGCTTTCAGAGTGCAGCCTGAGAGCCACATGTTTGAGAGTCAGAAGTGCATTGTCCAGACCACGCCTTGGTCCCAGTGCTCCAAGACCTGTGGCACAGGAATCTCCACCAGAGTCACCAACAACAACAGCGAGTGCAAGCTGGTCAAAGAGACACGCATCTGTGAAGTGCGGCCATGCACCCAGTCTCCCTACTCCAGCCTTAAGGTAAGCTCAAGCCACCAAGACTACTATGTTGAAACATGGCATACTATCCAACAAAACCAACCAACACTGCTCAGCGTGTTTATGGAAACTCTTGACTGACTGTTTCTCTCCCCTTGTTCCCCCAACAGAAAGGAAAGAAGTGCAGCAGAACCAAGAAGTCTACCCAGGCTCAGAAGTTCACCTATGCCGGCTGCTCCAGCCTGAAGAAGTACAGGTCCAAGTACTGTGGATCTTGCGTGGACGGCCGCTGCTGCTCCCCCCAGCAGACCCGCACCATCCGGGTCAAGTTCCGCTGTGAGGACGGAGAGACCTTCAACAAGAACATCATGATGATCGAGTCCTGCAAGTGCACCTTCAACTGTCCACATGCCAACGAAGCCTCCTACCCCTTCTACAGACTCTTCAACGACATCCACAAGTTCAGAGACTAAATCAAATCTGATTGTGCAGAGAACCGACCCCTGAGAGATCCCAAAACAACAACATTGACAGACAGCCAATGGCAGTCCATCTAAACGCAGGGGTCCAACTCAACCGCCAATGAACTATCAACTTCCTGTTGTAACTAGATTCCCAAGGAATTATAGGCTTGCATCATGAGGACTTTATGAAGTGCACTGTCTGCTGTGACCGAATCAGCATTCTAAATTAAGATTCGCTTCATACTACTGGAGCAACATAGTAGCTTCGTTATGGAGCAAAATGTAAATTAACATGTGTAAATGAGAATGTATGTTAATATGTTGATATCAATTCATTGTGTATATTTTCGACCGATAAGTACCAACCAGACATGACCCAAACAAACTTTAGACATGTGTGTATGGATGTTGTTTGGATATGCAGATATGTAATTTAATTCAATATAACATGATCCTGTAAACTAATGAACCAAGACACCACATGTTACCGTGATTACCGTGGTTCCATACATGTTCATGTTTTGTGGCAGCTAAGGAACTTCCCAACTTGATCAAGAAAGACAAAGCGAAACATGTCAAATGAATGAATGTTTTCATTATTGTTATTAATATTATTTATCAAAAATTGTAGCTACTTTATTTGGATATTATGTGTCATACTGGAATAAATAGTAAAAATGATTTAATTTTATATGTTACAAAATAAAACAGATGTATTTATGAAATGTAAACACTATCTTCGTTTCCTTCTTTGATCAAACTGAAGTTGGGCTACCAACAACACTGTTTTGACTAAAGCTGAACATATTCATTGGGATTAGTAAACAATTAACATCAGTACACAACATACATGTAGAATCACATCTAGAGGGGAGGTCATACAAAGTCCCCATATATAGTGGAGGAACTCCAGTAGTTATACCATGGACAATCCCATACTATTTCTCCAACAGAGTGATCGTTCTGGGCTGATCTGTTCTTATTTAACAGAGCTCTGCAGACAGTTTCCAGGCCTTGAGACTGTTTTGTGCATTGGAATGCCGTTGTAGAACTCTGCAAGCCAAGGTAGCTTGCGTTCACTATATCAGGCTAAGCCATGCCCTTGACTAATTCGAACAAAAAAAAAAAGATTAAATCCCAGCATAGCAATGAGCACAGAGCTATGCCAAGAACCTTAAGTGGTACTAGTCTCGATGGTCTTGGATTAGAAGTAGCAATTCAAAGGGGACTATGTGACTATGATTGTATTTGACACACATTATACACAACCCAAAAAATGGACCTAATTTGCAGTGGTTGGATAGAAACTTTGGCCCTCTGGCACTAGGCTTGCTGCAGGGGGGTTAGTGCTATAAACAGTCTGGAAAAGCCAGGTGGGATACAGCTTCCCAGCCTTAGGAAAGCAGACATCGGGTTGAAACGTGTGGAGGCTAATATTAGCAGGGGTAGGACAGGTAGTAGTAGTGGAGATATAGCTGTCCTTTCTTTCAGTTATAGAATCCTCGAAGTAGGCCCTCTTCTGCAGCTGCTGAAAGGGTGGATGTATGCAGATGTTGCCAAACACCTATGGTTTGGATAGGGGTGAGTAGACCAGTGCTTAGGGGCAACTTCTAAAGCCATAGGAGTGTTATGCCTTGAGGATAGGACACACACATACACGCGTGCAAGTGCAAACACACATACACATGCACGCACGCACACAGAGAGTTTTTTTTATCCAGGTAGAGGAAGGGAACGGCTCAGGAATGCAGCGGTGGCTCAGAAAGCAGACAGACATCCTGATGGGCGGCAGATGTTGGAAACGGTGGAGCAACATGTTCACTTTAAGTTACGGAAGCAGTCAGTCCTAAAAATACACAAACACTAAGTGCTCACTGACACCCACAGAAGGTGTATCATATCAAAACAGGGCATAGAAAACCCATCTAACCTAGCCCGCAATCGCAGGGCACCTATGCAGAACTTTACTTTCCTGCAAGCCTGGTGGAAATGACTCTTAATAGTGTGTATTTAATAGGAGGTGGTGCAGAACGGGTGCAGGGCACATCCCCCTCGGTTATGGTCAGGCCGCATTTCCCAACACACTGTGCCCGCTGCTGAAAGTTTAACATAAATATTAGCTCTACATAAGTCCTCTTGAGATTTACCTTAAGGATGTATTTGGCCATTTCTATTAATCAGATTTTCAATTCAAAATACTTTAAGAAGTTTTCTTCTCCTTCTGAACTTAAGATAATATAATTTCAAACCCTGTAAAGTGCAATCACACTTATCAACACAATGCAGCTTAGATGCTTGTTACGTAATGACATCAATGTTATGTGAGCAGTCCTTTTAGGTCATCCATAACATTCCTCATTAATGTACACCAACCGGCCACCGCAGAGGGGATCCATCCATTCACCAGTCAATGTAAGTCAACTTTATCTGAACACAGAGTCAAGGAACTGGACCCAGAGACCACATTGTTGTGAGAGAAGGGACCAAAAGGGGACCAAAAGAGCACAAAAACATTAAAATGCTCCTACACCCAGACACACAAACACACACCACACCACGTCAGGCGCCCCTGAAATTAAATCACTCACCAACTACCTCACTCCTTCAACATAAAGTGTGTTTATATGACTAAGACATTAGCATGGAGGCTTCGTTAACCACTACGTAATGCAGTGCGGCCCCAGAAGCTAATGGGGAATGGACAGACAGAGAGAGGCTCGGCAATTAGAGCATTACAGCATTCTGGAAGCTGCTGAGGCACTGATGTCATCTCTTTAATGGCCCCCTTGTCTACTACCTCAGGTTAATATCCACTGTTATAGGGAACCCAAGGGCGAGAGGCACGGAGGGTTTTAAACAGCCATTTAGAGTATACCAAATGGAGAAACAGACTCATTTCCTCTAGAACAGGGCCATCTGGTGGCTTGTAGCAGTATAGCAGGAACATAACCAGCATGCTGTATGCACGGGTCAGTCTGAGATTTGACTTGCATCAATTAGGGACATGGCTGTCATTGAAAGAGATGGTGTACCAGTAGGTCCTGACTGCATCCTGGCAGTGTTGGACAACACCCTAACAAGTTGCCAAGTTTATTAGTGATATAAATGCCTCAGTCTGTTTCATCCCGGCCACAGGAGTGTGATAATGCTGCCTGCGTTCGTTCTCACACCAGATGGAGAGGAGCAGGGCCGTTTAAAGAGGGCTATGAAATAAGAGAGAGAGCGAGAGCGAGCGAGAGAGTAATGGGGGAATTGGGTGGATGAGGGAGGGAGGGAGATAGAGAGAGAGGGGAAAAGGCTTTAGCCAATATGTTTAGTACGTTTAAGACCATTGAGCTGCTGTAATGTGTCTGGTGTGTAGACGCCAGATCATAAGGAGACAGACCAGACAGTAAACTGAATTAGAGAAGATGTCCCCTATAGAATAACTTTAATCCAAAGTGTTTTGTAATGTCGTAGGAACACACTAGTGAGACTTCCACAGTGCATACATACAAGGTGCATTATACTGGTCTACAGTGATATTAAGTTAACGCAAGGCTTGATGCTTCCCCATGAAAAACAAACTCAGCAAAAAAAAGAAATGTCCCTTTTTCAGGACCCTGTCTTTCAAAGATAATTAGTAAAAATCCAAATAACTTCACAGATCTTCATTGTAAAGGGTTTAAACACTGTTTCCCATGCTTGTTCAATGAACCATAAACAATTAATGAACATGCATCTGTGGAACGGTCGTTAAGACACTAACAGCTTACAGACGGTAGGCATTTAAGGTCACAGTTATGAAAACTTAGGACACTAAAGAGGCCTTTTGACTGACTCTGAAAAACACCAAAAGAAAGATGCCCAGGGTCCCTGCTCATCTGTGTGAACGTGCCTTAGGCATGCTACAAGGAGGCATGAGGACTGCAGATGTGGCCAGGGCAATAAATTGCAATGTCCATACTGTGAGACGTCTAAGACAGTGCTACAGGGAGACAGGACGTACAGCTGATCGTCCTCGCAGTGGCAGACCACGTGTAACAACACCTGCACAGGATCGGTACATCCAAACATCACACCTGCGGGACAGGTACAGGATGGCAACAACAACTGCCCGAGTTACACCAGGAACGCACAATCCCTCCATCAGTGCTCAGACTGTCCGCAATAGGCTGAGAGAGGCTGGACTGAGGGCTTGTAGGCCTGTTGTAAGGCAGGTCCTCACCAGACATCACCGGCAACAACGTCGCCTATGGGCACAAACCCACCGTCGCTGGACCAGACAGGACTGGCAAAAAGTGCTCTTCACTGACTAGTCGTAGTTTTGTCTCACCAGGGGTGATGGTCGGATTTGCGTTTATCGTCGAACGAATGAGCGTTACACCGAGGCCTGTAGTCGGGAGCGGAATCGATTTGGAGGTGGAGGGTCCGTCATGGTCTGGGGTGGTGTGTCACAGCATCATCGGACTGAGCTTGTTGTCATTGCACGCAATCTCAACGCTGTGCGTTACAGGGAAGACATTCTCCTCCCTCATGTGGTACCCTTCCTGCAGGCTCATCCTGACATGACCCTCCAGCATGACAATGCCACCAGCCATACTGCTCGTTCTGTGCGTGATTTCCTGCAAGACAGGAATGTCAGTGTTCTGCCATGGCCAGCGAAGAGCCCGGATCTCAATCCCATTGAGCACGTCTGGGACCTGTTGGATCGGAGGGTGAGGGCTAGGGCCATTCCCCCCAGAAATGTCTGGGAACTTGCAGGTGCCTTGGTGGAAGAGTGGGGTAACATCTCACAGCAAGAACTGGCAAATCTGGTGCAGTCCATGAGGTGGAGATGCACTGCAGTACTTAATGCAGCTGGTGGCCACACCAGATACTGACTGTTACTTTTGATTTTGACCCCCCCTTTGTTCAGGGACACATTATTCAATTTATGTTAGTCACATGTCTGTGGGACTTGTTCAGTTTATGTCTCAGTTGTTGAATCTTTTTATGTTCATACAAATAAACGCAGTTGACAGTGAGAGGACGTTTCTTTTTTTGCTGAGTTTACATCACTGGACCAATGTGGACTTTTGTGAAGGATATTTAATGAAATATTCACCGGGTCATCACTACCTAAAAAACATAACTGCCATAACCTTTATTCAATGAGTTATGAATTACACGATGACGCTAACTGCCTGGGAGATTCAACGTATTATCATGCAATAAAATGTGCTTAATCTAGATGTAGTAACCAAATGACCTGTCCTGTCATGAGGCTAGGGCCTGTTCACAGTTTCTATGTAGTATCCCCTAACAAGTCATACGAGGCTAGGGCCTGTTCACAGTTTGTATGTAGTATCCCCTAACAAGTCATACGAGGCTAGGGCCTGTTCACAGTTTGTATGTAGTATCCCCTAACAAGTCATACGAGGCTAGGGCCTGTTCACAGTTTCTATGTAGTATCCCCTAACAAGTCATACAAGGCTAGGGCCTGTTCACAGTTTCTATGTAGTATCCCCTAACAAGTCATACAAGGCTAGGGCCTGTTCACAGTTTCTATGTAGTATCCCCTAACAAGTCATACGAGGCTAGGGCCTGTTCACAGTTTGTATGTAGTATCCCCTAACAAGTCATACAAGGCTAGGGCCTGTTCACAGTTTCTATGTAGTATCCCCTAACAAGTCATACGAGGCTAGGGCCTGTTCACAGTTTCTATGTAGTATCCCCTAACAAGTCATACGAGGCTAGGG